TTTTGGGATTGGTCCCTGGTTGGGGTGCATACAGGAGGCAATCGATTTATGTTTCTCTCATATTGATGCTTTGTTTTGCATTTCTCTCTCTCTTCCTTCCTCCCTCCCTTCCTAAAAATATTCTTGGGTGAGGATTTAAAAAATAATAAACAATCTTAAGGCAGAGGCAACCCAAGTGACCCTGCAGACAATACCCACCACCCTTCCATGGGGTCCTGAAATGGGAGAAACACAACGGACCCCCCACCCACCTGGGATATGGGCCTTGTCTGCCGAGAAAAGCCCAGCAATCCATGCCTGCTTCCCTTGAATTGGAAAACTCAGAGCAACCAGGACAACTGCTTAATTAACCAACTTACATCACAGCATCTCTCTAGAAAGAGACAGAGGGACCCATGTTCTATCAGGCATTCACCCAGGCCTGGGGATGTGCTCATTCCGACCACTTACACTCCTTAAACAATTCAGACATGAAGATAATCTATTCTAATTCTTTTCTGCGTTATTGACACCATTGACTCCCCCCAATCCACAGCACAATTTAATAAATCAACATGGGATTAAGCCAAGAAGAAAGAAGGTGATAAAATGCCATTGGGTCCCCTATAAATCATCAGCCTGAGCAGCACAAGGTAAGTAACTGGAGGGAGAATTGAACTTGTCTACGCAGCCATAATTGTTATGGCCCACGGAACGGGAACGTTTCCCAAATTTATGCCTCCGGCGGGCGCATGGGGGCGCTCCCCTCCTACCCCCTCCTGTGCGAGCAGACCCTCCCAGGGACTCTGTACCCAGCACCACTTTCTAATTAAAGACAGCAAGGGCTGGTATGCAAGTTTCAGTTCAATTGCTTTCGATCTGAAGATGTCCACAGTGAGCAATGGCTTCATTTACCAGGAATTACCCTTTGTACAAACCACTTCACTATTTAAAACAAACCACATGGATCATCATTAAGTGGGAAAAATTACCAATCTTCCGATATCGACAGTGGCATGGCCCACTTTGGAGCCCCCTCCTTCCCCCTTTTATTGTGGATTTTAAGCATTTGACTTGTTTTTAAATTCAGGCTGATACCAAGGTTATGGGTGAATAGGATCTGACAGCAAGAAGCTTCCTGAGAAGGGTACTGGGGTCACATGGGGTCTAGGAACTGGGGAAACTGAGTGACGATGCTACTTCTGCTCTTCCAGAGGGTTAGACGCCAGCGTGAATCTAAGCTCAGGGAAACCTGGCAAGATGGGTACATCGGAAAACAGACCTCATCTGCTCTGTCCGGATGACTTTCCACGCGATAGATGCTCTTCTGTGTGCTCCCTGTGACGTAGGACACGTGTCAAGCATCTCTGGACTTTTGTGTCTGTGTGTGTGCACGTGTGTGTGTGCACGTGTGAGTGTGTGTGTGTGTGTGTGTGCGTGTGTTGGGGGGAGAGGGCTGTTGTGTTCTATTTTCTCCATGAGAAAAACAAAACGTATTTCCTTTTGAATCCACTCATTGCAAAGCCCCTGATTTGGAATTTGTATTCAGAATTTCCCTCAAAGCAAAAATGTCTGCACGGGTACCTGCTTTGGAACTCTGGGGAGAGTCTGGGGCAGGTGGGTTTGAACTTCACCTGAGAAGAAGATTCCCCAGCAAAGAAGACACAGTTAAACCTCTGCAGGGTGTTATGAATAGCAGCTGAAGCAGGACTCGTCCTGGACAGCAAAATGGAAGCCAGCTGCTCCGAGGCTCACCTGTCCCTTGCAACTTAGAATGATCTACAAGATACATGCTATATACCAGGGTATATCGATGTGTGCATGCACGTATGTGTACCTATGCATGTGATGACATCATTGGACTTGGTATCGAGGCGCCAAAAGGACTATACAACTTTATACCACCTTGCAATTCCAAACTGTAGCAATATCTCCAATGTCAAGAAGAAGCAGCAGGAGAAAATAAAAGATTTATAACTGGAGTAAAATACCTATCTAAGGGAGAGTTACTGGGACATAAATACATGAAATGGATTAAGTCAAATAATTTAAATGCCCAGGTTTGGCTGAATAGATAAGTTTTTTTGTGGCAAAAGGGTTATGCTGTTTTCATGTGGTCATGCGGAGGAGACCTGGGTGCTGAGGTATCCCAATTGATTTTTTGTTTTATTTTATGAGTTGTCTTAGGAACAAATCCGGGAGGTTCTAGAAAGAGAGGCTGGATGTCAGAGCTGAGGCAAAGAGAGCAAATGATGAAGTAATTTTCCTTAGCTATCGGATGAGAAAGAAGCACCATCTGAAACTTCATTCCAGGAAATTATATTTCACTGAAGACTTGGTGGCCCCTATCAGAGTTTGCGATTTTATAACACAGAACAATGAAGGCTCCAAAATAAGGCAGCGGTGTCTTAATCACGCTCTTATGTAATTGGTGATTGGAAGGACAGACACCCCTGGAATATCTTCACTTGTAAATAATAATAAAATAAAAGGCTTTCAATAAAGGTGTCATTTATCACAGATTGCTGCCCGGGTCACCCATGTGATCAACTTGCTCTGAGAGTACAGATCATCAAAATGGAATGAAGAGACAATAACAGCTAAAGATCCATAGTAGACAGAAAAGAGAGTGGCCATGTAGAGACAGAAGACGTGCAGATTGCATCAGTAAGTGGTTTCTGGCGATTGAAGGGAACTGCTTCACACCCTTCATCAGCCCGTGGTCTGGACTGCTAACTAAAAGCAAGGGCAGGAGACTTCTGTGCACACTGTGAGGACAGCAATGGCTGGAAGAGGTGGCCCGCAGGTTTTGCTCTCCAGTCCTGAGGGTGCACCTTTAGCAAGGGTGGGAGGCGCAGATAGGAAACCTGATTCTCAACGAGACAGGCGGATATAGATGCCTGCTTGTACTGTACCTTAGGCATTTAGTAAAACTCAGAAAACATACACACACACACACACACACACACACACACACACACACTGCATTCTGACACTGTGTGTGTCACAGCTTCAGCTTATCAGCGCGTCTACTCCCAGGATTACATGCTCTTTCATGAGGGAGGTGAGTGCCATGGCACATTTCAAAGCCCACCTCTGTCTGTCTGTCCTCATAGGGGACCACGAAGCTGATTCAGTCACTTCTAAATATTTGCCATGGCTGCCAACATTCCCTGGGAGCCTCCCTTTGCCAGAGCAGCAGTGCTCCCCCCTGGAAGAGATGGCCTGGCAGATGCTGGGAGCCTGCATGTACCCCGTACACTCGTCCTTTTCACGGCGAGAATTACCTCCTGCTCAAAGTCACTCTCTTCTTGCCCAAGTTGTGCCTAAACGGGCAAACCGATGTAACAATTCAAGAGGAAGAAACATTCATTTTTTAAAAAAGAATCGTGCACAAGGAAACTGGGAGAGCACTGAATAGCTCTAGCATTCGACTTGCTAGATACTGCTGTTCAAATTGATTAATAGATACCATGAAAGAAGTGAATATAGAAGGCAGAAGATCAACTCGTATTAATAATTAGATTCAATTCAACTCAGGCTGAGCATCTGTGGAAATGCTCATTAGGAAACTCTTCTAGTGAGTAACGTGTCTTACACACACACACACACACACACACACACCCCAAAGATACAGAAATGGTAGGAGCAGATGAATGATATAACATTTACCAACAGGCTTTTCATAAATGTTCCCTGGCACAATTTCCTTACTGAGAAATGGAATAACATAATATTTAAAAAGAGAAACCGATGTCTTCCCAAGATAGGAAAACCATACGAAAACGCTGTTTCCCAAAAGACTTGTGATAGAAACGACGCCTGAACAAATTATTTTCTGGAAGTAACCAACTTGATCACAAATGACCCAAGCGTTCCAAACAGAATCTTGACATTTTATGGCTGCATCTATTCCTGCAACAGATTGACACTGAGGGTCTTTGGAGAAGGAGGCCCCGTCTGCGCACTGGTAAAGGAAGTTTAGTAGACCGCAACCACACATGGCTAACAAATGGTACTCCTGAGGGGAGTCCATCGAAAAATAGATGAAATGACTATAATCATGGTTAACTCTTCATGTAGCAGCTCGGGACAGGGAAAAGCATTCCCATTTGCATGACAAAACCCTTCTCACCCCACCAGCCACCTCCACAGCCCTGCCCAGTGAGAGAAAGCCAGGCTTGTCACCAGCCCCCCAAGGCCACATTGAGCTGTTCCCCAAACCCAGGACACCAACTTAGGCGGCGGCTCTACTAGTAAAAAAAAAGGGAGGAGAGACAGAAAGGTCCAGAGGAGACACCCAGAGAAAGAGAGGGACACAAAGAAAGATTCTGAAATGTACACAGAATGGAAAATAAACACAAAATCCCACGGCTAGACCATTAAGGGAGAGTGGAGGAGGAAAAAATAAAAAGCCTTCACACGGAGCCACAAAGACTGCATCCTACACGGCTCGCCTTCATCCAAGCACTAGCCAGGGAGTTTGGAAGCAGATTCTAGGGCTGCCACGCTCCAGAAACCCAAAGGCTCCAATTCCAAAAGCAACTGAATACAGCACCACCCAGACAAACTTAAGAAAATGAAAACACTGAGCAGACACACGCATACATAGATTTTTTTTCTTGCACTCTCTAGTAAAGCTGCTGAGTTCAAACTCCAAGCACTCAAACGCCCCCACAGAGAGCCCCACTCAGATCGGAGGGGCTAGCCTGGGGTCACGCTCCCACACTGGCACTGGCACGAGCAGGATGCCAGTAAGAAGGCAGTTTGCGATTTTAAACTCCCGTTCCCCAAGCCTGGAAGCAGGCGTGCAAAGTGTGCACAGAGGGGCAAACACAGCTGGGCGCGGGCTATCGGGGTCCACGGAGAACGAGGGGTTCCCACGCAGCCCTCCCGTCCAAAGGCGCGCAGCAGCCAGCCCCCTCCCCATCCCCTCCAAGGTACCAAAGCTCAGCCCAGCGACGCGGGGACCCAGTCCAGGAGCCCTGGCAGCAGCCTCGGAGGGAAGCCGCGCGCCTTACCTGCTGTAAGTACATAAAAGTCAAGGCACACGAGAGCTGGGGACACATGCCCACGCTGGGGAGCGCCACGCAGGTGGCCCCCGTCAGAGGATGCTGCATTTCGTCTCTCTGGCGCCCGCCGAGCAGGAGTGGGGACGCTCGCATGCAATCGCGCCGCTGCTCTTTGCCTGGACGCTACAATTTTCTTTTTCTTTTTTTAATTTTGCTGATTATCTAAGTCAAACCCGGGTGGCTGCTCTCTCCTTCTCTCTCTCTCTTTCTCCCTGTCTCTCTCGCCCTCCCCCCCGCCGCACCCCGCGCGTCCCTCCTCCCTCGCTTTCCGTCTTCCCCTCGGGTTTGCTGGCTCCCAGCGTCCGTCAGCCTGCCTCCAGCGAAGACACTTGAGAGGGTCAGGAAACTATTTTGCTTCCTTGGGGTGTATCTTGTGTGTGTGCGTGCGTGTGCGTGTGTGGTTGATGGGCCTGCTTGCTGATGCCCCCCAAAGTGGCAGGTGCCTCCGCCGCCCCCGCCCCCCCCACGAAATGGCAAGAAAGAGCAAAAAGGCAACTTCTAGGAAAGGTAGAGGGG